TCCCAACTGGCACAAACTATGATGGGCTTTGGAACCTTAAGACAGGGTTATAGGTTTCTCCATCTTTAAGAAACTGAAGGCATTCATACTTCTAAATGTCACAAGCAGGGCTTTTGTGTGTGTGTGTGCCACTATGGCATATCAGCACCTCTTTCAGCTGGCAGGGCTTATGCCTGTAAAGAAAAATGGCTCCTTGCTTTTGCTCTGTGTAACAAAATCTTTGGTTTGGGCTGCAAGAGGCCTACACAAACATTCCCAGGGACTGTTAAGAGTCCAGAGTCAGTGTGACCTTGTAAGCAAGATAGTTTGCAGCTATAGTGAAAGGGAGTACTATCCTACCCTGGCCTAGCAATTAGCACATACCAAGCAATTGAGCTATGGGCCTTGCACCTGTGGGAAAGAGGCGAGGTTTATCTGCGGTACAGTTTCATTTCTACTCCTCTGGTCCATCACCCTATACATCATGAGCTTAGCAACACAGAGAGAGTTACATCACCTCCCAGGTTTCTGATTGGCCTAACAGGCCTGAGGTCAATCAGAGAACCTCTCCATAAAGTTAGTTAGCATTTGCCATTTGGGGGCTCAGTAACTACTTGGCATGAAGTATGTCAGTGGCTACCCAGCTCAGCTGGAAGTGACTGTTTCACCATGCAAGTTGCTGTGTTCCTGACATACAACTCAAACTGCTTACTCATGAGGGCTAAGGCCCAAGAGAGAGCCACTTGGATTGCTGAAACTAACCGCCTGAGATGAACCAACATTGGGTAACTTGGAATCTTGTTTTACTGTACTAGCTAAGCTGGATAAGCATAGAGTTTGCTTTATGTTCCTTCACAGTCTTGTCCATGTCTTATCTATTTTTTCCACCTTAAATAATTATATTTTTACCTTGTTGTGGATTTTTGCCTTCACTGATCTCAAAACCTTCTTCCAGAAGCCTCGGCCTTTGACCACCTGCATGGTAATTGAATTTTGTTTGGAAACTCAGTCCACAGTCCTACCTTGCAGGGCTGAATTTTCTTCTTCATTCCCTGAAAGGCTGGGAGACTTGTCCTTTCACTCCTAAGCTGTTGGGATAGACTGAAGGACTGGTGGCAGCTACCAAGACTAGAATGAGGATAGCCTCTCTCCAGCATTTTTGTAACTTTGTTTTGCAGCAGCCCTTCCTTAATGAAAGTTCTTGGCCTGGGTTTGGATAAGGACTTTTGAGAATGCTGTCTGTGCTGCGGACAGGCCAGACTGACTGAGAAACAGCAGACAAAATTGTCCTGCAGCTGAAGACATGCCCACAGATAATGTCAGCAGGTGCAATGGTGCATGTTAGCTGCACTGGTGTCTTTTTTCTGGCCCGCCAGCCTGGCCTTCTCTGGCAACCTCTAGACTGATGCTTTTAATGCTAACAATTCATAGACATGCAGAGACTTGGACATGGCAAGTAGTTTCAAGGAGTTTCTGTTCATTATGAGGAAGTTGCTGGCTTTCCATTCATTTCTTTGAGGCCCCTACTGGAAATATGGTAGCCCCAATATAAATATATAAAAGAACATAAAAACATAAGAGAAGCCATGTTGGATCAGACCAATGGGCCATCCATTACAACATCTCTCACACAGTGGCCAAAACCCAGGTGCTATGTTTTAATCTTTTAATCTCTTAATACCTTATAGTCTTTTTATTTAAAACATTTTTGTACTGCCTTTCCACCAGAAACAGGTCCACAAAACAGCAAACATCATGAGTAGCAGCACTTTTTTAAGCACTGGTCACAAGTATACTAAATGGTAAAAGTATATGTACAGGATACATCTTGCATTCTTTAATCAAAGTAGTAAAGTAAAACAATGTATTGAATATATTCAGGGTTTTCAAAGAATTGTTTTCTCTAAGAATAAAGGAGACCTTTTAAAATGGTTTTAAAATGGTTTCATTATTTCTGGATTTTTTTTGCATTGCCTGCATAGAAAGTTCCCAAATATGGTAAACACTAAAAACTAAGAGTCATCATTTCAATGGTAGAAATAGATCTTTTATAAACAACCAAAAATACTGTTGGACAAAGTTTGCTATTCCGAAAAGCACAACATTAACACATACAATGCACTTATACTTTCTCACCTTCTTGCACTTTAAGAATGGGATGAATACTACAAACAGTGAATAGAAAAGTGACGGAATGATCTTTCCCTCTCCCCTGTAGCCTCCTGCACCCCCTGACAACTTATGCCTCAATGTCAGAGAAACTTTGGAACATAGCAAGGAGCTGTGTAGGCAGGCTGCAGCTAGACGGGCAATAAGCTGAAAGCACATCCTCTTCTGTTGTATGAGCACTCCCAGAAACAGAACATGTGCTCACTGAAGGTGGGGGGGCAATTCCTATCAATTTTTCCTTTACTGACATACCCATGTACAGCATTCCAACCCATTCAAGGGTCCCATACCTTCTGGAGCAGCTTGGAAGAAGGGCTGCAATGAATGGAGGAGATCCATTCCATCAACTCCTTCCATTCCAAATCCGTTTGACTCAAGCCAATGTTTTTTATTTACAGTATCTTGCCTATTTGTGAAACATGTTCAAGGCCACTGAGAATGTTGTTACCTCATCAAGAACACAGGCAATACTTGAACATCGAGGTTTGAAGATTCTTCAGCCAGCAGCATCTCTGTTAGTCTGGATTCAGCTTTAGTTTAATAAATACCCTCATTCAATCCATTACCATGTCTATTTCAATAGTCTGGCACATCCACTGTATACTGATGACATCTCTGACCAAAACTCTGGATGGATTACTTCCAACAATAGTTTCATATACATGTTTAACAGCACAGGAACGGAAAGGAACATGTTAGACCCCACACAGCAAATGCCAAAAGGCACAACTACAGCCCCCCCCCTTTCTGAAATCTACTCTCCCTGCATGAAGAAGAAGAGATTGAATTTATACCCTGCCCTTCACTACCCAAAGGAGTCTCAGAGTGGTTTACAATCGCCTTCCCCTCTCCACAACAGACACCCTGTGAGGTAGGTGGGGCTGAGAGAGCTCTTTCAAGAACTGCCCTTGAGAGAACAGCTCTGAAAGAACTTATAACTGACCCAAGGTCACACCAGCAACTGCATGTGGAGGAGTGGGGAATCAAACCCAGTTCTCTGAGATTAGAGTCTGCACTCCTAACCACTACACCAAACTGGCTCTCTTTGAGTGAACCATTTGAGTGTTTGACCCAGTTCTAACCTTGCAAGGTTTTCCAGAAGGATACCACAGTCAGTGGTATGTAAAGCTTTCAAGAAATCTTAACAAACCAATAGGGTACCACTCTTCCTGACACTCTCCCAATGTAGGTCAAACAGAGTGACCAGGGCAGTTTCTGTGTCAAAACTGGGCCTGAAACCTGGGACTGTTTAAATGCCTTGATGCCATTTCACAGACTATTTCCTATTAGTTTATATCAAGAAAGTCAATAGTCTCTTGTTAGATGGCAAAAGACCAAGCCTCTCCATCAAAGTAGAAAGCATTTTCACAGTAACAAAACTTCTAATACTCAGAGACACATAACTGGGAAATGCTAAACATGGTTCTCAACACCCTGCACAGAGGACTCTTAAGAAAACTAGAAACACTCCTATGTAGAACTACCTTCTAATCACCCAGGCTCAACTCCTACTTTAAATGTCATACTCAGTAGCACACACATCCCTATATGTTGCTGCTGTGCATTTGAGGAATATAGAAACTGTTAGCACAGAACACAAATGTCAAGAAAGGGTTGAAAAAAGAAAAGACTGATGGATTATATACTATACAAGAAAGAAGACCCACGAAACTCGCGGGGGGGGGGAGCTTCAAATGAACTGACGGAGGAGGAACCAGCAGGATCAGGTAAGCTCTCCCACCCCCCATCCTGCCGGTTCCTCCATGTCCTCCACCACCACCCCACTCCTTCCCCCCCCCAAGCGAGGGCCAGCGACTTGCAGCTGCCCGGGACTCGCGGCCGCCCGCACCCGCCCTTGCCCCGGATGGCTGGCTGGCTCCGAGGCGGCGGCAGCGAGCCTGGCTGCTCCCCCCTCCCAAGTGAGGCTGGCTGGTCCCCTCGCCAGCTGGCTCCGAGGTGGCGGTGACGGCGGCGAGGCCAGCTGCTCCCCCCCA